CAAAATTCCCCTGTCATCATTCCTGCCATAACAGGGCCATGGATAGTTCTCTAAATTTTTATAGAATATAATAGTGTAATTAATATTGTATTCCTTTCCTCAAAATCATAGGTGTGATTCCTGTTACTTTCTGATCCTCCTTGTTGCATAAACACTAGAGGGAGCTATTATAACCCAGAATGAAGATAATTAAGATATTTGGGTTTCCATGGGACATTTGTTGAGCTGCTCTTCCAAACCCAATAACTGCTTCTGGTATGATATAATGTGCTATTCTTATAGTTAAGAGCATACAAAGAGCTATTACAGCAGAAAACTTTGCTTATTGAATAGTCAATAATGATGGAAGCTTCTCTCTGCTGATTCATTTGGTATATAAATGATCTTAGTTGTTCATCGCCTCCATTCATTCATTTTGAGGTATCTACTTTAGAAAAGGGTTGCTGAGCCCCAAATAGGAGAACTTCATTTCATAATAGCAATAGCAATAGCACTTAGACTTATATACCATTTTACAGTGCTTTACAGCTCTCTCTAAGTGGTTTACAGAGTCAGCCTATTGCCCCCAACAATCTGGGTCTTCCTTTTACCCACCTCAGAAGGATGGAAGGACGAGTCAACCTTGAGCCGGTGTGATTTGAACTGCCAAATTGCAAGCAGCCAGCAGTCAGCAGAAGTAGCCTGCAGTACTGCACTCTAACCACTGCATCACCGTGACTCATAATGCAGAACAGGGATGTCCAACCTTGGCATCTTTAAGACTTGCGGACTTCAATCTCATAATTCTGGGAGTTGAAGTCCACAGGTCTTAAAGACATCAAGGTTGGACACTCCTGATGTAGCATTTATTTTCAGGTCCGACAAGTACATGTGAATGTTCATAAGTCATATAAAGTCTACAAAATGTATAACACGGAAGAACCAAAATATAAAAATTTGAAGACATACTTCTGTTTTAATTTCCCATTAGAATTAATCTCAAACTTCATATGCGATTTATAATATGGGAAATGTTTCTATCTCCTCTCATATATACTTGGAAATTGGAACATATACATCCCAGAGGACATACCAGCCCAGGCTTTACATATAACCTGGTTAGTACATGTCATTTACACATCTGGTTTTCCAAACCTTCATAATGGATGATATGAGTCTTGCTCATTAATTTTCAGCCATTTTTAAAGGATTCAGTTCATTATGTTTGAATGATTGCAAATGGCAACATTGGCAAAGATTCAAGCCATTCCTTAATTTAGCCCAACTCATTTATAATCTTCTATGCCCCATGTGGAATTTAGATATAACTATCAAAACAGCTGAATCATAGTATCGGAGATCTGACTGTCACAGACTACATGAATAATGGCGATCATTAGCTATTAATAATTTAATAATGGCACTTGATTATATATAAATGACATCATTCTAAAGGAAAGCAAAGTGTTTTGCAAGCTCCTCAGCGGGGAGGAACTTATGAATCAAAACCAATGAAGGATTTTGTGAATAAAATCCCCGTATGCTCATTTAACTAACTGGAATTTCATTTTCTGGTTTTAAAAATTGTATTTAGCACTACATGGATTCAACAGATTCAGTCTACCATTTATCCACCCAATTGCCTTTTATATTCTTTGTCCAAGTCCCAGCTGTATGGCCTAGGATGTCTATGCATGTGTATATAAAAAAATCAAAATGATGCTACAACTATGCAATTGAAGAGTTGCCTTCCTTCTATATGTGGAAGTGTTATTTACATTTACTGAAGGACCTAAGCTTTAATTGCAAAGTTGCCATCTAGCAAAATTCAACGAAAATTGAATTTTCGTCGGATGCCCATGTCTTGAATATTTCACTTCTTCTCAATCAGCTAAACATACCTGAGATTCCTATATTCTTGCTTTTCCAATATTCTCCAGATCAATATCTGCTGGTTTTGCAAAACTATCCTGCCAAAACATCGCTGAAGCTTATATATGCCCATCCTATACCGAACAAGATTGGACTATCTTTTCTGAGGACCACATTATCTTTATAATTATATCACAATAATCAGCAGGGCTGAAACATGTCCAAAGCCCCCATATGAACAGAACTCTCTTTGATTCCCCTTTCCTTTTCCGTGGATAAAGCTGCTGAAAAGGGAGCAGATGGTTCTTCAAAGAAAGTTCAATCAATGAGTTGCAAAAGAATCTGAAAGTTAAGCTGAGGTCACAAACGACTATAGGGTTGTCTGCAGTGGGGACGCCACTCCATCTTAACCCCTTGGTTTCACCTTTTTTCTAATGCCTGGAAAATCTTGACTCCTGCCTCTGTTTGTTTTCTTGTATTACTATATTATTTCTGTATTGCTGTCATTGGGAATAGCCTACAGTGGACGCAGTAGATCAAACAAGATTCCTTTTGAATAAATATTTATGGTAAAACAGGTATTACATGTTTCAAATGATCTTGCATTTTATTTTATTATTAAATTTTTACCAATGCTTTTACTTAGGGAAGGGGGTAATTTTCTCATGCTGATTAGGCCCAGTGTCAATTCTACTTGTGATTATTTCCACTTTTCTCACATGTTTGTGTGCAGGGATAAATTCATGTACAAAAACACAATTGAAGACTGAAGATGATTAAAGGTGTGAAGGCAAGAGTTTATAAAAGAGTTTAAAATCCCAGTATTTTAAAATTCAGAAAACAAACAAACGTAAGGTTCCTATCCTGTTTTGAATATTTTCTTTATGCTAGAATATGTTTCCTTTTCAGCTACACAATGAACATATCATAACATTTAGGTTCACTATTTTTTATACCTCCAACCATTCTTGGATTTCATTAGTGTTTTTTCCTCCTTGTTTATCATCCACTTATTGGCTGATGTCCAGCTATATCCATCCTTTAATTTTTTTTTAATAGCCCATGAGACTTAAATGTTAGAATGAGAGGGAAACATGGCACATAAGAAAATTAAGCTATCTTCTCTCTTTCTCTTTATAATTCAGTGTGGCAAAAGCCATCTCTTTTGCTTTTCACTCAAAATTGAACCTTTTACTTATCAAACAAGCCATGGGTTGATTTTAGACACAATATGTAAGTGTGAAAAAGATTTTCTGAGAAGGGATAGGAACAGTTTATCTCCCAGGTCCTCCTATTCCCATCTCTACCATTAAACTCTACGAAACAGCCCCAAATCACCCCATAAAAATGAAATTAAAAGCAATTATTTACTGATTTTATTTATACTCTACCTTAGGGCTTGGGCAAGCTTCTAGATAGATAACAAATTTAATATAAGAACAACTTAAAAAGATCAAAATATTGATGGAAAATTTTGATGACTATGAGCTGTTTACCCAATACCCTTATTCCCCTGTTAAGTTCTTCACTGACAAGGCCTTGTTGTTAACTAACAAGATTTCCTTTCTGAAATTTGACCTTGAGATGCATAGATGCTGAAAATAAACATTCTGTAGTGATATCAAATATGTAGCCAATTATATATTATGCAAAGGTTGACAGATGCACACGCATCTCCATATTTCACATTTTTAATTTTTAAAATTTACACACACACACACACACACACACATACACACAAACACACACTTATTTATTTACTTATTTACTTGGGAGGGGCTTCCTGTCCTAAGATGCTTCTAAAGCATTTAAACAGTCAGACAAAATCAATAGTCTAATTGTTTATGCAAATAGTTTGATATGCCTAAAACTTGATATTGATTTTCCAAATGTTATTTGTGAGAAAGGGAACTTCACAACTGAGATGGTCTTCGGATTATGATAGGAGTGCAAAAGATTAGAAAAACAACTGCCTTTGAGTTGGAGTTTTATTCTATTTTCCCATTCTGGTTAATTCATTAAACATTGCCACATATTTCAAGCCTGTTTTTCTTTTCAGTCCCAGATGTTAGAAATGCTGGACTAGGAACTGACTGCTGCTTCTTCTTCTCCTCCTCTTCCTCCTCCTCTTCTTCCTCCCCCTATTTCTCCTTTTTATTTAATTTATAGGCTGCCCATCTCTCATACTGGTCTGGGTGGCTTACAGTTAGTAATCAAAATACAGATAAAAATGTAGATATGAGATACAGTGGATCAGAAGAACAAAAAAATGAAAACAAAAACAAAAATCAATAAGTTGATAATCTATTCCCAAGGTCTGGAGGAAAAAAGAGCTTTAATAGATTTTTTTAAAAAAAGATGTAATTGTGGGAGCAGCAAGGTGGCCTTGTAGTGAAGACACTTGCCTCCCACTTGGAAAGTTGAGAGTTCAATCTTAGGTAGCAGCAGATGTTTCTCTCTTAGTGGGCAAAGAAAAAATATCTGCTGTGAACTCTGCATAGGCATCAGGAATGGCATCTGGCTAGTAAATGCTCAACTCCATCTAGTCACCCCAACTGTACCCTGAATAGAGTCTACGGGATTGTAAAAAGAAAAAAGAAAGCTAAGTGTGGGAGCCACATGAATCTTTCTGGAGATTCCTCCGGAGGACAGTATAAACATATTTCCTGGGTCCGGACAGTTGACATTATTAAATTGACAGGACCTGGAACCTTCCTGGGCCAAAGTGAATGGGCAAAGACAACTGGACATAAGAGGTCCTTTAGATAGGCAGATCTTATTTCTTCAAGAGGTGCATAAGAGGTGGGAAAATATTAATTTTCTTGTACTTGTTGCAAAGAAGACTGGGAGTAACTTCTTTTTTCTATTCTTTGTTTTTCTCTCTCTGTTCTCGGAGAAGCAGGCACTCTATTGACTTCTGGCTGTCCCTCCCTATCCTAAACTGGATGGAAAACTCTTATTAAGCAACTTTCACCAAGAGGATAGAAGAATGTTGAATCTGTATGTGTTAAGTCTGAATCAACTGAAACCAATTCATCCAGTCAACCAAACAGATGTCAAGATATGATATGACACTACTCTAAATCAGATAAGTTAAGAACAGTATTTCCAGAAAAGGAATTTAGCAGACAGTGGGTTGTTTTTTTTTAGTTCAATCAAGATTTATGTAATAACAATTGCACAGATTTATAGATTTTCTGTATAGCGATGCATAAGGTCAAATATGCACAGATAGCTTATTGACAGCTAATATAAGAATTACGGTTGTCCGTGGGCTCTCCAGATTGAAAACTCATTTGAAATGTAGACAGATACATTCTCTTGGGAAACTTATGAAACAGACATGCTTAAAACTTGGCTTGCAGTATTAATGTTCCTGATGCTCTTAATCTTCTGGAAAGACTGAGTGCATGGAAGATGACAGCTTGAAGAGTCATCCATTATGATTTCCATAAAAGTCTTGGAATTCTTCACACCTAGTATGAAATAAGCCATTTGAGACAACATATCACTAAAATGCTATGGCGTTTCCACATCTCACACATGCTCTCTGTTTCCGGTTTATACTAAAGAAAAAACAGATTGGTATTAAGACATGTGCCCTATAGCAGACAAAGCAAACTCTTATTTCAATGCTTGTTCTATGAAGAGTAAAATGCAAATAGGGTGTTGAAAGAACATTATTGGTTTGGAAATAGAAAGGGTATATATATATCCCCCAAAGCACTTCTTGTTTGACATTTTGGGTGACTTCTGAATTTCTTGTATGTAATCCCCTTGAAAAATTGGATAGGCCATAAACCAATAAACAGACAGAGCTCTTCTAAGCATGGCTCAGACTGTGAGAAGTGGGCTTTATCTTAACAGTTTGGATGGTTTAGGTCTGTTAGTCAGAAGTATAACACCTCTCAGGTAGAAGTACTTGACAATTTAAAAGTCTGTGTCACAGAGAGGAATAGCAGACATATCTTCTGTTCTTTAATAAAATAGAGATACACAATAAGGTTCTTATTCCTTTGTGGAGAATGTTTTTTTCCCTAGTCCCTCACAAGAAGGGATTTTTAATCCTTAGATATTCATAGAAAATATATACAGGGAACTAAAGGGAAAACTGTCTACAAGAGGTTTCTTTTTCCCTTTACACCCTTATGGAGAGTTTTCCTTTAGTCTCTTGTAGAGATTGTGTGTTTATGTGTGTATGTGTGTGTGTGTGTGTAAACCATAACAAAAAGGATGGAAGTTATCAGCTGATATTTAAAAGGCCCAGCCCTCTTGATCAAATGTTCTGAGGAATTTTTGTTTTAGACAAACAGATTCCATAGCATGAAAAAGTTTGAAAATTTCTTATGTAGATAAAAATTCATGGAGACAATTACCTTTTTCCTTTAAAGTCATGAAGGGGGATGCACGAGAAAAGATGATGCCAATACATACCTTGTATATAGAAAGCTTGAGGATCCCATCTGGTCATCACATTTTCTTCTGTTAAAAGGTCTTCATTAAATCTGAAAATGCACCTACTGTATTATCAGTATTTTTAAAATAAAAATCCCCAAGAGAGTAAATCAAAACTCATTAGTGTTTCATACTTTTAATCTGTAGCCTCATGAATTAATTGATAAACCACAATTTGTTTAAAATATCATTCCAGTAAAGTACATGATTAGGATAATTAAAATATTATGAGTCTTCCTGTGTGGCAAAGCCAAAAGAAGTGTACTATGGGGGGGAAAATAGATTACTCACGTCAGTTGCAGTACTAAGAGTTGCAATATACATGAAACAAAATTTATATTTCCAGATACAACGTACAAAACTCTATTTCACTTGGAGATTTTTTCTATTAAGACTTGGGCTTAATTTATCTTCCAGTGTTCAATAATTTCTGACCTGTTTCCAACTTTCCTTCAGAGGAAGTTTGCTGAGAAGGTGGCTGGCCTGTAGCTCCAGAGGACATTGGAGGAAATGGACTGTCTGAATTTTCAGTCCTGGACATACTACTGAAACAGAATTGTATACATTTGTACATGACTTATAGTAGAATTAGGATGAAATTATGCATCCATCTGGCCTGCCTTCATTTTTTGATCATATTATATTTCTGCTCAGGCTCAGTGGGTTTGGAGTGTAAGACACAAGTATTATTGTGGTTCTCTTCCATAGGTCAGTTCCAATCAGTGTTAACGGAGAGAAGATATTTCTGCTCTGTATTGTATTTCAACACTGAATTATTTCCTTGCTCCAATTTAAACCATACATGAGGCTGCTAGGTGAAGTCATTCAGTAGCAGTATGCTTTTGATACTCAGTTATACTGTTCAACCCTTGGCAATCCAAGTGATGTTGCTAGGAATAGAATAGAATAGAATAGAATAGAATAGAATAGAATAGAATAGAATAGAATAGAATAGAGTAGAGTAGAGTAGAGTAGAGTAGAGTAGAGTAGAGTAGAGTAGAGTAGCGTAGCGTAGCGTAGCGTAGCGTAGAATAGAATAGAATAGAATAGAATAGAATAGAATAGAATAGAATAGAATAGAATAGAATAGAATAGAATTCTTTATTGGCCAAGTGTGATTGGACACACAAGGAATTTGTCTTGGTGCATATGCTCTCAGAAAAGAAACATTCATCAAGAATCATAAGGTACAACACTTCATGATAGTCATAGGAAACATATAAGCAATCAAATCATATTAGGAAACAGTCAATATAAATAGTAAGGATACCAGTCATACAGTCATAAGTGGGAGGAGATGGGTGATAGGAACAATGAGAAGATTAATAGTAGTGCAGACTTAGTGAATAGTTTGACAGTGTTGAGGGGATTATTTGTTTAGCAGAGTGATGGCATTCAGGAAAAAACTGTTCTTGTGTCTAGTTGTTCTGGTGTGCAGTGCTCTATAACGTCATTGTGAGGGTAGCAGTTGAAACGGTTTATGGCCAGGATGCGAGGGGTCTGTAAATATTTTCACAGCCCTCTTTTTGACTTGTGCAGTATACAGATCCTCAATGGAAGGCAGGTTGGTAGTAATTGTTTTTTGTTTTGTTTTTTGCAGTTCTAATTATCCTCTGAAGGCTGTGATATAGAGGTGCAGATGACAGACTCAATAATTCCTCTGTAAAAGTGCTTTCTTAGTGTCTAGATTTGGATAAGGGAATACGAGTTGAAAAGCAGGCAGTAGTCATGTCTCAGAGGGCCTTTGCAGAAACCCATCTTGTGTGCCAGTTGCCTCCATTTTGATCAGGAGCATCCATATCAGGGGTGAAATCCAGCAGGTTCTGACAGGTTCTGGAGAACCGGTAGCAGAAATTTTGAGCAGTTTGGAGAACCGGTAGCGGAAGTTTTGAGTAGTTTGGAGAACCGGCAAATACCACCTCTGGCTGGCCCCAGAGTGGAGTGGGAATGGAGATTTTGCAATATCCTTCCCCCAGGAGTGGGGAGGGAATGGGGATTTTGCAGTATCCTTCCCCTGCCACGCCCACCAAGCCACACCACGCCCACAGTAAAAAAATTTGGATTTCATCACTGATCCGTATTATGTGCCATATGAAACCCTACACATAGTCATGGACGTCTGAGCCACTTGTTATCATTGCAATGCATTCTACATGGGGCCTCCCCTTTGAAGACCATTCAGAAAGTACAGCTAGCCTAAAATGGAGCAGTGCAAATAGCATTAGTTTACACTGCTATTTCATTGGTTACTAGTCCATTTCTGAATTACAATTCAAGATGCTTGTTGTGTCCTATAAAGTCCTTTGTGGCACAGGGGGTGGTTATTTCTGGGGCTGCTTCCTTCCAATTCCTTCTACCCATGCAATGATCTCTGAGAGAGTGGCCACGATCCATGTCCTGTCACTTAAATGGAGTCACCTGGCAGGACCCAGGAGATGTGTCTTCTCTGGTGCTGCACCTGCCCTATAGAACTGCATTCCTCCCAAGATTTAAATGGCTCTCATTCTGTCTTACTTTTAGAACGAGCAGAGGATCTGTTTTTCTCTCAGGGATTAGATTAGGAGTTTGCGTGCATTTTTGGATTGTGGGGGACTACGTCACGGGTCTGCAACCTTAAATACTCAAAGAGCCATTTGGACACGTTTCCCACAGAAAAGAAAACATTGGGAGTCACAAACCCTTCCCGTGCCTGACTATTTCTTGAGCGGCCACAAAAATTCAAAATGTTGAATTAAACATTTTGTTTTCTTCTGAAACTTTTCTATTCTTGGATTTATCCATGGTTGGCCTACTGGGGGTTGAAAAGCTCAATAAATCGTGTGCCGGCAGGTGTCACACATTGGCAGTTGGGATGCATATTTTGAGTGACAGGGAGCTGCAGCAGAGTGGTGAAAGAGCCACATGCGGCTCCAGAGCTGCAGGTTGCTGACCCTTGGACTAGGTGAAGTTGCATTGAATGTTTTACGTTTTTAAAAGGTTTTCAGAAAGTATGTTATTGTCAGCTTGAGCCAGATAACGATAAGGCAGCTGTATAAATTGATTGATGTATAAATGTTTTGAATGGGCTATTTTTCTTCAAGTTTTATTTTTTGCAAAAAAAATAAAAAAAATAAAATGTTTTTGTTGTTTTACTCTTTTATTTATTTACACTTTTATCATTGCTCTTACATGCGCTGAGCATCATTTAGATAACCAATGCACCAAAGCAAGGCATAATTAAGCAAACAATCCGCTTTTGGTTTCTATAGTTCCGTATCACAGGTATTAGTCTTCCCATTTGTTATTATTGTGAATTGAAATAAACAAAGCCTCATCCCCAAAATACCAGCATGGAGAATGGGGCATAAAATTCATAGAGGAAGGGAAGAAATAGCCTAGGTGCCTTGGGGAAATCTGAGACAACAGTAGGAACTGAACATCATGTTCAAATTATAGCCTTTCAGCGTGAGGGCAGATTTTGTTAATTTGTGCCAGGTTGGTATCTTTCTATTACATTCATAGAAGCTTCTATAATACTGTGAGCTGCATAAATCAAGTGTGGTGTCTGAAGAAGTTCAGTTCCAGGTCTTAATAGCTATTTTAATTCTGCATGTCAATTATATTGTAGTCAAAAGTTCAAATAAAGGTCAGGGGATCTAAGCTTTATAGCTGTTTAAATTAAAGCATTTCTACTACTAAGGGTAGTAATGGATCAAGAGACAGGGGTGAATTTGGCCTTATTATTTCTCATGATCCTGCTGCTTTTAACTGTGTCCCCACACATCTCTTGATGCAGATGTGTGACACAACCTTACCTGGCAAAGAAACTGTGGTAAGAAGTTCTCTCTTTTCCCTGAGCATTTCTGCACCAGCAAGTTCAAGCACAGATACACTATCCTGGGTCGTGTGATCACTTTTTGCAACCATCTGATAAGTAAAGTCAATGGGGAAGCCAGATTCACTTAACAACCATGTTACTAACTGAACAACTGTAATGATTCACTTAACAACTGTGGCAGGTCATAAAGTGGGCAAAAAAAAATCCAACAGAAATTTTGGGCTCAATTGTGGTCGTAAGTTGAGGGCTAGCTCTACTTGAAAAGCCCTATTTTGTAGCACTCCTCGTCTAGGGATACGTAGTTAGTCCAATTTCTGCTGAACATCTGCTATTTGAATTTTCTTATTTAGACATTACATTGGTCTCTAAACGGATATAAATATATCAAAACATTCTTTAATTAGTTGTTTTGCTCACCCTTATATTCTGTTTTATCTGCTTTTTATTTTTAATTTTTAAAAAGTAGCTCTTTGTTTTATATTTTACTGGTATTGTTACAATTGGCCTTAGAAAGCCTATGTATAAAATCAATTATAAATAAACAAATAATCTATGATTAAAAGAAGCTGTGAGGAGTCCTCTCTGAGCTTGGTTGTTTTCTTGCAGACATTTCTTTCTTTTCTTTTTTTTTTAGTTTTTAAAAAACAAACTTTATTAGATTTAAAAAAAATAAAATTGTATAAAACATTCACAACCTTAAAATACAATCAACAGTATCAACAAACAACAAACAAAGTATATATAATATATATAAGTGCAGACATTTCAATGCAGTGCTGATGTTACCTAGCTTGGATAATAAAATATCTGCAAGAAAACAAGCAGGCTCAGAGATCACCAAGGACCCCTCATTTCAAATATTCAAAGCTACAAATATTCTCCTTTATCAGAAAATAAACTATGTTAGGAACCTCTTTTTTTTTCTCCAGAACATTTCTGCCTTAGTAATTTGAAGTATTACCCAGTGATTCCTGCAGCCTTGTCTTTATTAGTGATATATTTCCATAGCAATGGCAGTATAATGCTATGGTTAATTCGGTTTTTTTTCTTTCCCTCTTTTCTTTTCTGTCTTTCCCTTCAATTCTCCTTTTCTGGACTCATTTCCCCTCCTCTACCAATTTGAAAACTTTCTGCCTGAGAATACGGTAAAAAAAAAAAAAAAAGCCAGATCAGAGTGTAATTTTGCCATGCCTTTTTTCCAGAAAATATCCCTTTCCACAGTCCTCCCCTTCTAATTTTTAAAATTATTCTTTCCGTGACCCTCAGTATCATCAGGGAGTCTTCAGGTGAAGGAAACTTGACACAAACTTGGCTGAAGGTGATTAAACGATTAATCCCCACACATTTCATTCTAGTGCTTAAGGGCTAGAGGCTTTAGGAATGCTTGAAAGCTGTTCTCCTTCTCCTCAGAAGTTCAAATCCAGGAGAAGAAATGAATTACCCCATTGGATTCTAATTAATCCATCTCTGAACGTAGAGATATTAAACAAATCCCTTCCAGCTTTGCCTTCCCCTACAATCTCAAGTCATTTGTAGTAATCCTATTAATTTCAATCTAACTATGTATGCAGTAGCCTAATAAATGTCAGTTGAAGTGTCCCACTTTTTAGGATATAGCAGAGATCAGTACAGTAAATCTAGTGTATCTTAGTGCCAGGTCCCCTTCCCCCTAAACTTTACCAGACAATGTCTGGTTTAATTTATTTTTATGGCTGGTTCCTTAGCTTCTGGCAAGGCAAGTATTTAAAAAATGAACATATGTTGCATAAAACGACAATGCATTTAAATTAGGCAAGAGTTACTTGATTTTGCCATGTGTTGCCAGCATAACCCTGTTTGTGTAGAATAGAACTATTTTGTAAAAAGTTATTTTCTTAGCTCTGAGTTATTTTATATCCTGGTAGTTGACTAGATTTTCTTTAGAGCAGAATAATAATGAAAATCAGGGTGTGCATATATAAATCTATCATGGTTAAGTTCCAATATGCATGAGTAATGTTGGAGTTGATACCATTGTAATGTGGAGTTTTGGCAAACATGGTGTAAGGACTGAGGTGAGAACCACTGGTTCCCAGATACTCATTATATAAACTTATTACAACTGCACAGCTTCAAGTTCCAGCAAATTCCACATCAAATATGCATTTTAGAAAAGCTGTAAGCACAAGCCGTGAGCTTAGTCAGCAATGCTATACAAGTCATTTACATCTTTTCAATGACAATGGACAATGAACTGTTTTGCACAGCTCCTTTCTTATCTACAATGAAGATTCTAATTTAGGAAAACTGTATCTCTGAGTCTCCTATTAAATCTCCTGGAGGATTCAAGCCAAGCCATGTAGTAAGTGGGAATCTTGATTTACTGCCAGATCCTGGTTAGAACACCCTGATGGGCATTTAGTTGGGAATGTCTTTTATACATGAGGAGTAATTAGTATCATACAGTATCATCATATACCTCCAATCTTTGAATATGAAGGAGACTTGCACAAGTAGTGAAGACGAAAAAACACAAGATAAGAATTAAGAAGTGGTGTATATGTGTATGTTCGTTATGCTTGAAGGTATGTGAACATGAGGTGAAAAAGTTGTTCAAAAAGATTATTATTGTTTGAACAAAATAGCCAGTCCAAGCTACGGTGATAAGAAGCAACCTTATATTGAATGTGATAATTACTCATTTTTAACACCATGATGTTTTCAGCATATACCCAGGGTGTTTCAAATGGAATTTTTGCTCGGCTTTCTGAAGAATACTATGAATGAATTTTTCTGCAGGTAAGGCAGTACATGAGAATTTAATTTCAGTTTTATGTCACCTCATTATTTTAATTTTTTTTAATTCCACCTTTATTTTAATAAATAACTCAAGGCAGTGAATATACCAAATATTCATTCCTCCTCCTCTTTTCCCCAGGAGGTGAGTTGGACTGGGAGAAAGTGACTGGCCCAGAGTTTCCCAGCTGGCTTTCATGGCTAAGGCAGGATTAGAATTCACCACCTCCTGATTTCTAGCCTAATCATTATACTACAAATAGTTTTGTAGTCAAATTGTTTGTTTAATAATGCAGTTATGCTGTGATGCTGTAAATGGTTTTTATTTTATTACAGAATGTGTATATTGCTGCAATTTGAAATGCATATTGTTCCATTTCAAAATCTTTTGCAAAATAAATAAGTGCTGGACACTAACCCAAATATTTATTTTCAATACACATTTACTTCCATGCTGAATTCATTTCCAACAGCTCTTGGGTTATTCAGTAATTATTTATTTCATGAAGCTGTGACACTAAGGAAGAAAGTATGTCTTCATACTTAGATGTAAATTTCAACTTGCTTAAACAGAAACTTACGAAATAAGAGGCTAAAATAGAGAGACCTGACATACTTCCTAGGTAGGGATTTCATCCATAATGAACTGTCTCTAAATCATTTTCCAGAGATGTGGCTACATTCATCTGTTGCAGCAAAACAGCAAGGAGTTTTGGGACCTTGCAAAAACAAATACACTTATTATGGCACAAATTAAAATATGTCTAAGGGTCATTATGCTAGGAGTATAGCTATTGAAAAATTGCACAATAGAGGCAAATAAACTTGGGGGCATGTTGTAGCAGATGGATGGAATGAGCAGCATATGGTGGTACTGAAAGTCAAGAACCTAAGATTTAAATGCATCCAGATAAGTAAGAACCTAAGATTTAAAACGGTGTTGCTGGAATTTCCAAATTGGTAGTCAAACCATATGAGATTTTGCATTTTGTGGAGGAATCAGATGGTAAATGAAAGCCAGAGAATAGAGCCTGAGGTGGAGACAGATGCAACCTAAAGACTAGTTAAGCATGGTTCTTTCCTTTGTACTACAGCATTAGCCAATATTTCAAAAGCACTAAGATAAACCACAGTAGAACCAATATGTGTCAGAGGATTTGATTATTTGTCCTTGAAAGCAATTAAGTCCTAAAGCGGTTAAAATATATTTTTGTATTGAACAAGAGTTATAACTATGGCAGAAATCCAAAGTGAATCCAAAGTAAAACATGAAAAAAAAAATAGAAAGGGAGATTTATATTCACCTCTGATCAATGTAATGGCATTCAATGAAGTTCCTTCATTCTAGGATCTGGGCAAAACTTCAACATTCAAGACACAAAGCTCAAACCTGTTATTGCACAGAATGTTGCTATTGACTATATATTACCACAACATGTAAAAACTTCAAATCTGATATTTGCCCATCATAGAGACCAGCTGTGTAGTATATTTTTAAGAGGCACTGACTATATGTAATCATACCATAAATATACAAATTATACAATCACGTGACAATCTTGTTTTCAATTCTCTTCTAGACATTCCTACCGCCAACCAAAATAATTGATCTTCTTTCAAGATTCCACCATTTAGCTGACATTTGTACAGAACTATTTATCACAGTTACAAATCTCTTTTGGGGTCAGTCACTGGAAGACTTTATCATGCTTTCTGAGAATTCAAGATTGTTCAAGTCAATTTCTTTGATTTGGAGGTACACTTGAAGTTCCTCCTTTTAAAAAACTGTCCTAAATATGTTGCTTTCATTTGGTACTTTGCTACTTCATTAGCTCACATCTATCTCCAAATCAGTTAGAAACAAATTAAAAAGCCCTTATCCTAACAGACAGCTTTAGTGGATTTCATTATATTTACTACTCTATTATAAGAACTGTGGATTTATTCCCATTCTTGATACTTTGCACAAAAATGATTTACATGGGAATATTGTAAAACCAGATGAGTCCAATATAGCATAATTCCATTTCAAGATAATCAGTCTTTGGCTGATTGATGAGAATTCATAGAAGCGTATTTTTCTGATTTTTCCCAGGACTTCCTAGAATGCCTTAAAAATGTTTCAGAGTGGGTGAAGAAACTCTCTTGGATAAGGTGAACTATTTTTTAAAATTTATGTTATATCACCTTTATTATTTATATAACTAACTCATGGCAGTGAACATACTTAATGCTCTTTCTTTTTCCTATTTTCACCCATAACAACAACGCTGTGAGATGGGTTGAGCTGAGAGAGTGACTGGCCCAAAATCACCCAGTAGGGTTTTATGTCTAAAGTGGAACTAGAACTCACAGTCACCCGGTTTCAGGTCTGGTGCCTAAACCACTAGACCAAACTGATTCTCTAATTTTCTATGGTAGAAAGAGAAAGAGACTAAAAGATCCTTCACATTAAGCAGAGATGGCTAGAAAGCAAAAGACCATGAGTTCAAGTCCCACCTCAACCATAAAAGCCAGCTGGGTGATCTTGAACCAGTCTCTCAGCCCAACCCACTTCACAGAGTTGTTGTGGGGCAAATAGGAGGAGGCGGGTGTGGTGGATATGTTTGCCATCTTAAATTATTTGTAAAAATAATGAAGGCAGGAAAGAGAGAGAGAGAGAGAAAGAAAGAAAGAGACAGAGTGACAGTGACAGAGAGACAGAGACAGAGAAAGTGACAGAGAGACAGAGACAGACAGAGAGATGAAGTATCACTTAGGAAAAAATGTTCCTTGGGGATTCCCCTTTGTCCCTTAAGCCTCTATGCTATAGCTGACAATTTTAAATCCTCTGGGTAAAATCTTATTCTATGTGTTGCAGTAATCTTATATGTGCAGCACATTGTCGGTACTATATTTTGTATCAGATCCGATGGTAATTTCAGTCTATGTGGTCAATGCAGCATTTAAAAGTGCATAGAATACTACAGTTGTGCAGATTACTGAAAGGGCATTAAAACTGGGGTCAATGTTACAAGTAAAGATGGGGAAAGTCAGAACAGGAATTCACTGCTCTCAGTTATGGAGGAAGCCTGCAATCTGGATGGGTTTTTGATGACTAGGATCATATCCAATTCAACAGGCTTATCAGTTGAAAGCAGCTGGCCAACCCCAACTTTTGAAACATAGTGCCCCTTCAGAATATGGCTTCATAGAAATACACTTAAGGTTTGGAGATTTGTAATATATTAACTTCTTTATCAAAGGTAGCATATCTGAAATACCGATAACTAGGAAGCAAGAGTGGACAGGGTTGTGAATATTATTCTTGTCCCTACCAACTTAAGTTTTTTCAGTGACAGAATGATAAAAAGAATGTAAAAGGCTGAGTGGCATTTATGAGAATTGGCATCTGTGTTCAGGACCAATAATTCTCTAATTTCTCTGTAGCAACTCTTACAGACAAGATCAGGCGTGGATTAAAGCCAACTGATCCCCTAAGCACAGCCCAACAATGGAAGTGAGATTCTTGCATCATGAAATGGAAACAAAGATGATATCTGACAACACCTTCAAACCAAACTTTTCAATTTAGTCACTCACCATGTCAAAGTAATTTTTTTTAAAAAAATGAAGTAGATTAAATCTAAACGTGAGATAAGGAGAATTACAAAAATATGACTAAAGTTGAGTGTGGCTATGAAAGAGTTAAGGGCATAATAGCCAAGGATGGGAGGGACTCTGTAATTTCCTTCTTTCCTTGGTGTCCTAAGCAACATTTTTTGTTTTGTTTTATTGTTTAATGGTTAATCCAGGTGCTTATTTTATTTAACATATCCAGGACTGGCCAAGATACACTGAGCAAAACACAAGCATGATGCTATTCCAGCTCAATCTGCAATAATGCTTTGGATGTCCTTCTTGAGTTTCTCTCATGAAACTTTCTCCAGGAACTTGCCTGGAAAACTTGACTTACAAAAAATGTTTTTAATTAATCCAAAATGAAATAAAATCCATGCTTTATTCCTCTACTTACGTCGTTCATTACTTAGAAAGTTATTCCATTTAAAAATCATGCCCTGTTCTCTCATTATATTACTCATAATCATCACAATATTGTGACTTATATGGGAAGTTCTGTTGCAACAGTTTTCTTTTTTTCAAAGTTGACATCTGCTAGAAGATACTCTCCATCCTGTTACAAAAGGAATTAATGTGCAGGTAAAAAGTGCTTGATCTTTATCTTGCTTTCAGCCTAATGTCATCAGTTTATTGTTCATATCTCAGTTTCTCCAAATGCTTGCATAGTATTCTGGGTAATTGAGGCTTACATGAAAAAAAATGGTAATACTCAGCAACAAGCTCTGAAAGGAAAGACTGAATGATGTGGAAATGTTCCATTTCTATTTCATGGCATCTAGATAGATTCTATAATCATCTATAAATGTACAGCTGAACAATAACTTGCAGATTATGTTTGTTTATTGATTTAACATATTTCTAGGCTGCTACCATTGAAAATTGAAAATGGTGGCTCACCTAAAAGTTGATTTGGAATAGTCTGAATATCTAAGGCACTGCCACAAAGAAGAGGGGGTCTCCAAAGTACCTGGAGGCAGGACAAGGAGCAATGGATGAAAACTAACCAAAGAGAGAAGCAACATAGAACTAAGGAGAAATTTCTTGACAATTAGAACAATTAATCAGTGGAATGACTTGTCTCCAGAAGTTGTGGTGCTCCATTATTCAATACATCATAAATATATGCCAGTTACCAAGGGCCCAATGTTTGATCACATGACCATGGGGATACAGCAACAGTCGTAAGTGCAACGACTGGTCAAAAGTCACTTTTCTCAATGCCATTGTAACTGTGAACAATCATTATATGAATGATTGTAAATTGAGAACTACCTGTACTATGTTTTCTCTGTAAATACTCAAAGGCAAAAATGATCACTGCTAGATGATGATTCAACAACAGATTAGCTGTTAGTAATTTGTGTAATCACTTCTTTGTCGCTATACAACTTAGGATCTTCCAAACATAACTTAATATAACATAACCATGTCTTTCTAGGGGCTTCAGACATTTAAGGACATACAAATGAAAAAAGAAATAACAGAAAAGTCAGAGTAAAATAGGTCACACTTAATATTTGAACTAGCATGTAGAAATCCCTCAGTAAATAATTTTGACCCTACAACATGTCTGAATGGTGCCATTTATAGAATTGGGAGAAGAGGTTGACCACAAAAAAAAGTAATAATAAAATTTATATTAGAGTGATATTTCATGAGTATGAGTAACAACTACAGCAACAATATAAGGTTCAGTGTTAACAATTGAAGAGGATGTACAAAACACTTCATATGATTGGTCTCTCTCTAAGTAGACTGGATTTTGGCACAGAGGAGAAAATATAATCATCTGTGCACTGAAGATATGGGTGTGCTATAGGTGGGGAAAACTAGTTATTTATACAATGTTTGAGCCAATATGAAAGCCTTCCTAGAAATTTGCTAAACAACAATAAAGTACGATCCCCTGAATTCTTAATGCAAAGTTTTATAGTATTTTTAATTACTGGAAAATACTCTAGGGCTTGGATAATCAAATAATTTACACCTAGATGCTTTGACAGCACTCTGGCCTTTGGCCTTGTGCCTAACACCACAATAAAGTGTAAATCATTACAAGATGATTCACACACTGTCATGTCTTATTGCTTAATTAATTTGTCTGAAATCACTTTCCCTAGGAAGTCAAGGCAAATGAGGATATGGATGCAATTCTCTGACAAAAAGATCTACATTCAACTTCCCACACCCTCAATAATGTAAATGAAGAAATCTTGTTCCGGTCTTTTGCAATTAATTCAAGATCAAAGATGTCTTGCTTTATCTCAAACTATCCAAATGTACAGATATCATACCAGGGGTAAAATGCTCCCGGTTCAGACCGGATCGGCGGATCTGTTAGCGATGGAGGCGGGTAGTTCGGAGAACCGGTAGCAAGAATCCCTGCCCCCCCCCCCCGCCCATGCCCACCCAATTGCCCGGTTCCCACTTGCCCACTTGGCAGCTTGCTGCTTCTTTTGGGGTTGCTCGCTTTTCCGGCCTTGCTTCGGCTGCTGCAATTGATTGCATCAGCTAGCAACTCAATGTGCCTGCCTGCAATCAATCCAATCGCTGAGCAACTCAATCTGCCTGCCTTGTGCCTTCAATTTGGTAAGTAACTGGTTTTTTTTGTGGGGGGGGAGAGCTTTAAAAAAATAGTTAATTGGTTTTTTTTTAGGAGTTTTATTATTATTTTTAGACATAGCAATTTAAAATTAAGGAAGTTTTAAATTTAGCTGCTTTTATCTAAAAATATAAATAAAATAAAATAATAAAATAAAATATTTGTGCAGCTTTCTGAGATTTGGTGTGTTTCTGTAGTGTTTCACTCTAACTACACAAACACACAAAATCTCACAAAGCTGTATGTGGCATTTTGTCTGTGTAAAGTGTGAAAGTTGGTTTTTGGTATCTCTTATTGTTTTGTGTACTTTGTTTATTATTTTTAGTATTTATTATTATTGGCCATGCCCACCCAGTCACCTGACCACCAAGCCATGCCCACCAGATCACCTGACCACCAAGCCATGCCCACCAATTAAGCCACGCCCACAGAATCTGTAGAGAAAATTTTTAGATTTCACTCCTGTATCATGCAATATCTTGCTTTCTCCAAGGTTTAGCTAACTTGGCATCCTCCAAATATGCTCAACCACAACTTCCTTGAATACAAAGTATGCTATTATACTGGTAGTATCACAGTACTTGAGAGAAGCAGGCTGGAAGAGTATCTTTTATCATCCATATTATCAGTAACTATAATTGTATATATTATACTATTGAGCCTGTATCATGGATTTTTTTTGTAACTGTGTTTCTAAATTGGTGAACTTAAGACAGCCAAATTGTATTTTACTTTTATTTAGAGATGTAAATGGAGTTTCCTTTGGAAGTTCCTGCGAAAGGATTTGAGGGTTTTATATGGAGATATAATAAAATATAACAGAAATAAGCCCAGCAACCAGCAACCAAAGACTTAGCTTTGAAAATGAAAAGAGAATGGGCACTATTTCATTAGTGCCCCTTCCCTTCCCTTCCCTTCCCTTCCCTTCCCTTCCCTTCTTTCAGATTCCCAAGCACGCATAGTAATCTAGGCTTCTTGGAAGAACCTGTTTCTTCTAGCATCAGCACTTCCTGGAAGAATATGCATCCACACAGTATCATGGGACTGTAGTCAGGCACTCATGGAATTCGGCTTCCCAGTCAGGTTTCCATTGCTGGAATGGGTGGATGGATTGAAATCTACATGTCACCTTATCGTCTAAACAATATGGTGATTCCAGGAAGTGCTACAAAATTAAACCTTTGTGAAAGTGATTGAACATAAACCAATAACTCTGGACATCACAGGCATTTTCAAAAGTAATGTCCCTAATGGAACAATAAATATATTTCTAGTTGTTGTTTTTTTTTAAGTGAGCAGTAAAATGGTCTGGATTTACACGGACCTGCATATTGCTAATGTGCAATTAATAATATTTTTAGGGCTCCTCACTTCCATTTCTAATGTTAATGCCAGCTAAAGAGGCCTCTAACACTAACCCTGAGCATGAGGCCATGATACTGACAAAAATGTCCTAGTTTCAAGGCAATTAACATAAGAAACATCTTTCTAAGCTGCTACCAGTGGTTATTCCCCCCCCCGCCATCCTGCCCCAAAGCTAATTGATGTTGTGGAAAGTTTTGCTGAGACTGCAGTTGTGGGCTGCCATTCTGGTGAAAATCAGGATTGCACCTGATAGTTTTTAAAAACAATATATTTTTGTCAACAACAAATTATAAACAAAACCTGTATCTATACATTTTTATTGCCAAAAAATGCAAACCATTACAGGTAGTCCTCAATTTACCACTAAAATCGAGCCCAAAATTTCTGTTGCTAAGCGAGACAGTTGTTCAGTGAAATGACTATCCCATTTTACAACCTCTCTTGACACAGTGTTAAGTGAAACACTGCAGGTTTTGGTTAGTAACATGGTTGTTAAGTGAATCTGGCTTCCCCGTTGACTTTGCTTGCCAGAATGTCACAAAAGACCCCAGGACACTGCAACTGTCATAAATATGAGTCAGTTGTCAAGCATCTGAATTTTGATCATGTGAGCAGAAGGATGCTGCAACAGTCATAACTGTGAAAAATGGTCATAAGTCACTTTTTTCAGGGCTGTTGTAACTTTGAACAGTCACTAAACGAACTGTTGTAAGTCGAGGTCTACCATTGAGTTGAGACTTAAGAAGCATAATAGAGTGCTGAAAACTAGAAAGACACTTCTCCAGTACATAAATGACAAGGCAATTTCATAGGCACACATGATTTCCCTCAAATCATGGAATATTTTCCTCAAATCAGGAAAAAAAACCCATCTAAGTTATGTTCTATCAAATTGAATTAACAGGGCATTTTTTAAAAAGAAAAAAAATGCTAAATAATGTCTGGTTGGCACGAAGACTTATCAGTCCAGAAACCAGGACTGTGAGTTCTAGTCCTGCCTTAGCCATAAAAGCTGACTATGTGACTTTGGGCCGGTCACTCTCTCTTAACCCTATCCATCTCACAGGGTTGTTGTGGGATGCATAGGTGGAGGACAAAATATTAAATATGTTTGCTACAAGAACATATTGTTGTGGCGGTTTGCAGGGGTTCGGAAGAACCTCTAGCTAAGATTCTGTGCAGTTCGGAGAACCCCCAAATCCCACTCCTGGCTGGGCCTGCCCTACCATCCCCTGCCCCTCTCCTCCCAGGAGTCCTCATGTGGCCCATTTTGGATGCAGGTAAGTGCAGGATGCTCACGGAGGCTCTGGGTGGGTGAAAAATGGGCCTACAGGAAGTTTGGGAAGGCCAGAAATGGGCCTGTTTCTGGCCTCCAGAGGGCCTCAGGGGCCTGGGGAGGCCGTTTTCTCCCTCCTGGAGGCTCAGGGAAAGCCTCCGGAGCCCAGAGAGGGCAAAAATGACTCCCATGGTGCAGGAGGCTGACTAGGCCACGCCCACCATGGCCACGCCCACCCAGCAACCAGGCAGAGAACCCTTTGCTAAAATTTTTGAAGCCCACCCCTGTTCGCTACCTTGATTTACTTATAAAGTAATAAAGGCAGAATAAAAATCTAATAAAATAAACACATACTAAATACATGGACCAGCTGAAAGTGACTATGTTTTGTTTAGCTGCTTGCTTTATCAAAAACAGCAAGGGATTTTTCTTCAAAATACATATCTTGGCCTACAAAATTTAAGGCCTTCTCTACAGAAACATGCTGATTATATAGTTAAATCTATTTACAGCAAAGGGAAGAAAAGTCAGTTATCAGAGTATGAATTGAAGAATGCAACGAGTAATCACATATACTGTAAATAGCCCTTGGTAATTATCTCACTGGTATGATTTTCATCCAGGGATCTAACACTAGAAATCCTATTTCATCAGTCCCTGTATTTCTAATATTTTTTTTAAAAACGCATTTTGATTCTATTCAAAAATATTCAATATTTT